GTCATCATCAGGTACGTAATGATGACAAAAACTTGTCGAAACGTTGTACATTTGCTGTTATGTTAAACTTGTATTAAAGTTTTTCTTTATTACCCATTCAAGCCGTCTCCAGCCATTATTAGTCTCAAAGTGGGTTCCTCGTCATCGAATTTGATTCCATGTGTTAGTTATGATTTACAAATCCACTATCTCAAAGCATTCAACATGAAAAAACAAAACTGCAGTCAGAAACGCAAGTTGATGTATACATGCCCGATAATATTTACAATCTATCGTTCTCTTTGTGTGCACAAATTTTATGAAATTCTGCAATACGTTCTCATTCTGCTTAAAATGGTTTTTCTATAGAAAATATATAGGTTATTTATCTTCACGACAGTTCAAATCATCAAACATCTACTAAAGGGATAAAAACAAACAAACAAATACTTGAGCACGACTGGAATTGTAAAGTAATAATTCATATCCTGACTTTTATATGATGATATTGAGGAACAACGTACCTTTTGTTCCAGAATGGTAACTGTTGTAACTGTCAGTGAATGCTGTAGTAGGAGTAGGAGCAACATACTCTGTAACGATTGAAAAATAACCAAGGAAAAGATGTAATAATAAAAATATGAGTTACGAGTAATTCTACAATTCTTTTTAGGTGAACATACAATGAAAAAGGGTTTATTTAAGTAAAAAAAACAACAAAAACTACGGATAACAAATGAATGTGCGTGAGAATTTTGTTTTATTTCAAATATTGTTCATTATTCGTCAACTTATAACAATATTCTTGTGATTTTTGTGAATTTTTCATGCTTCGCCAAATATATTTTGAGAGTTTTATGTATATATATTGTTGGCAAGCTTTTGTTGACTTCGATAAACTTTCTACTTGTTAGACCTCAAACCAAAAGCTCCCGTCAGACAATTGTGACTTTCACAGCAATTACTAATAGCCATAATTAAAAAGAAAAAAAAACAGTAATTGTTAGTGTTAAGCCGATTATATTTGATAACACTACAAATATAATTAATTATAATTATGCTTAACGAGCTTAGAAAATACGTTCCCACCATCACAATAATGACCAGGTAGAAGCACGTGTAGTTTGTCCAAACCCAATCGTGTTCTTGGGAATTAGTCTTGATAAGACACTGTCAGAGTACTATTTTTTCATCTTAATGTAAGTCATACTTTTAAATATTAGTTTAAAATGGCTGCATGATGAAATAGAAATTTGGAAAATATTATATTTCGAATACCCAGAGTATAAGTCTAGATATATCTTTTTTCGCAATATCAATAATTAAGTTACATTTGTTCATCGAGTTTGATTTATGATCTCTTATGAAACTCACTATGAATTTCAAATGTGAATATTTTTGAATCATAGGTCAGTTATTCTCTCTGCCTTATTTCTAATCCAGATACGCGATATAAAAGCCAGTTCTTCTATATTATTTCTTTCAACTGACAACAAATTTTTTTACTTCGATCTATTTTTTTTCTTGCATCCTAATATAAGAGTTGAGTCAAGCATTTATATTTATGAGATGGAAATGAGGTTTAGTTTAATTTTCCTCGGGTCTGAGTTGTTTACTTATTTTTGGTTTATTTCTACTACGTACCGTGAAGACGAATGAAACCTTCTTTGTCACCAAGTGTATTTTTGGCAACACATTTATAAGAAGTAAAATCCTCTTTCTGCAAATTATGAATCTTCAGCTTCATCTCAATCTTGTACAAGTTTCTGGATTCATACAACCTGTACTTCGTGCTGTTAAGCAGAATTTTCCCATCATTTCTTTCCCAAGAGATTAGGGGTTTGGGCCAAGCCTCGATTTTACACTCGAGGGTGACATCCCTTCCTGCTGCTGCACCAATCACTTGATCGGGAACTTTGATTTCCGGTTGAACTGTAAATATATATATAACTCTCAAATTTACATATTTGAATGTGTTAGATCTAGATCCATGTTTACTCCAAGTGCAAAGGAAAGTTTGAACGCTAACTTTACTGCTGAAATATTGAAAAATTTTGCTGCGCATTCAGCTCAATTAATAACTCATGGCGAGATACAGAAGTAATAACTCAATAACTGGTAAATAATAGAATTCATTGTGAGAAACAAAAATGATAAAGTCAGCTTAGATAAAAATGAAAGAGCTGCGAATAAAATTACTAGACTTCAAAAGGATAATGAAAATGTAAGTACAGGATAGCATTTGTTTTTTTTTCTTTGTGAAACTAAAGTGACATGAGACGCTAAGAGAAAATAGGGAAAATTTCATTTGGAAAATATTAACCCAAACGTATAAGTTAACTTTTTCAATATATTATTAGTATTTTTCGATTCACAAACTCACCAATTCTGCATTTTTTCACGATCAATATTAAGTGTTTGAAGGAATACACAGTGATTGGTCGTTATATATGTATAAATGTCAAAATCTACTAAGAGATGGCGATAGCTGCAATAGCTTAAACAGTGTTACTAGCTATTTACTTGTTTGTTTGTTTTCATCCTCTCAGAAAATCCCCAAAACATAATTAAAGAAATAAACTGTTAACGTTTTGGAAATGTTTAGTCTTATCGTTATATAGCAGATAACACTTGACCATAACTGCATATCAACGTAAAATAGTGATTTTCAGATTTAGTACGATATATATATATATATACCTGATTTATATGTATATATCATGTTTAATTTTCAAAGAAAAGCAAGCCTAAATTCTGCAAGTCTTTGGTTTTGCATACGAAGCTATTAGCGATTAACTCATCAAGTTTATTTTTAACTATATCTCCTTGCACGTTAGGACTAAAGAAAGTAACGAAAACCTGTTTTCTATTAGTTTCGTACTTACATTTCACCTCAAGCATGATTCTCTTGCTGACTGATGGAGGAATACCGTTGGATACGATGCAAAGATATGCACCCATGTCCTTCCTGCTGATGTGAGTCAGGTTCAAAAACTCTCCCTCAATTTTGCGCTCTGGAAAAAAAAATGTTCTTGATTACTTCTGATATTGTGGCATCGCTCTCTGTTCTACTGGGGAAACATTTTAATGTTTACTTACTCTCAGTTAAAATACATCATATTGTGGCATCGCTCTCTGTTGTACTGAGGAAACATTTTAATGTTTACTAACTCTCAGTTAAAAGAGATCATATTGTGGCATCGCTCTCTGTTCTACTGGGGAAACATTTTAATGTTTACTTACTCTCAGTTAAAAGAGATCATATTGTGGCATCGCTCTCTGTTCTACTGGGGAAACATTTTAATTTTTACTAACTCTCAACTAAAAGAGACTTTAAGGTAAAAAATAAAACATAAAACAGTTAAAGTAATGCTTAACATGTCTTGTGCTGACGTACGTTTAATGACTGTCAGGAGAGTATAATCAGAAAATACAGCTTTATCTAAATGAATTTTAGATATTGAAAGGTTTAGAGAACTTTGAATCAGTGCATGATTTTCCAACGTGCTGTTGTTTTGTTGTTGTTGTTTTATTATTATTAAACACAAAGCTACATAAAGGACTATCTGTGCTCTGCCCACCACGA